AACACACATACACACAGACAAATGCATGCATACATACACATACACACACACACACACACACACACACACACACACACACGCTGAGTTGATTAATCAAACAAGCCGTATATATCTCACCAGTTGCCGCATACAGCCCTAAGCCAGAAGACCAGACTGAACACATCTCCAACAGGGTCTTTCCTCTTCACAAAGCAGGCTGCTAGTCCATCCGCACTGCCGTTGATGGCCAGCGTCTTGTCGCTGTTGTGGCGAGCGAGCGTCGAAGGTGGCGAGGTGGGCGTCTTGTCCACAACCTGACAACCCTCATGATCATCCGCCGGTTCCCAGTCTCCAAGCGGGTACTCCACAGCGGGGAAGCCTCCACGGCCGTTACAGGATACGACCTCGGAGCAGAATCCGTCCTTGTCACATGACGATGTGTTGAGAGTGCTTCGACAAGCCAGCTCATCCTGACAGAACTGGGAGACGTTGATGGAAGCCCGTGTGATCAGTTCTACCTCGCCATTCGACACCGGCGTGAAGGAGCTGCCACAAGGTGTGGAGTACAGAAGTAAAGAACAAAGCAGCACAAATAGAATCCTCAAATACATATTGCGTGCAGCGGGGTTCTCGTCCTTTCACGGATCACGTTTCTGTCGCGAATCTGGAAGCCACCACAATGCTGAACTTTCTACTTTCTGTTGCCTAAACGACGGTCAGTATCGGGTAGCTTCATCCATTACACTGCTGCTCTTTCATCCAAGTTCGCCCTCACCATGCCTTCCGTCACTTGATATAAACCTCATAGTCCTGTCTGTGGAATGATGGAGATAGCAAAATATATGTCAAAATGGAAAGTTACTCGTATATCATTTGCCATAAAGGCGAGAGACACTTCTTATAGGTTTTGATCGGCTGCAGGCTGCCTCAAGCCTAAGAGTGAGCTGTAAATTGAAGTTCCACAAAATAATATAAAGAATAATAATTATAAAGCTGCTGTATACAAAAAAAAACATTTACTGGACCAAGCACAAAGAGCATTATGCCCAGTAAATCTGCATTTAGAGAGACTGTTGTAACATTAAACCTAAAGTACCTAAGTACTGTTTCGTTTGTAAGGGATTAAACGAATTTAGAAAACAACCCCCCCCCCAAAAAAAAAAAAAAAAAAAAGCAAAAGAAGTTTTTTTGTTCTTTTAAAAAAAGGATGGCAGTATGACGACTCACACATGAAATCCTGTTAAGCTATA